GATCTGCAGGAATTTCAAGATGAATTCCTGGGAATTCTGCCCCCAAATTGAGGATGAATTCCCAGCATTCCAGGGCTCCCACTGCCCCCAATTCCACTCCTATGATCTGCAGGAATTTCAGGATGAATTCCCAACATTCCAGGGCTCCTCCTGCCCCCAATCTGCAGGAATTCCAGGATAAATTTCCAGGAATTCTTCCCCTAAATTGAGGATGAATTCCCGCCATTCCCAGGCTCCACCCACCCCTAAATCTGGACTGAATTCCCAGCATTCCCAGACTCCTCCTGCCCCAAAATCCGGGCTGAATTCCCAACATTCCCGGGCTCCCACTGCTCCCATGATCTGCAGGAATTTCAGGATGAATTCCTGGGAATTCTGCCCCTAAATTGAGGATGAATTCCCGCCATTCCCAGGCTCCCCCCGCCCCCAAATCCAGGCTGAATTCCTGCCTCTCCCAGCATTCCCGGGCTGAATTCCCACCATTCCCAGGGCTCCCACTGCCCCCAATCCCAATTCCTGAAATTCCTGGGAATCCTGCCCCCAAATTAGGGATGAATTCCCGGCCTTCCCAAGCTCCCCCCACCCCAAAATCCAGGCCCAATTCCCACCACTCCTGCCATTCCCAGGCTGAATTCCTGCCATTCCCAGCATTCCCGGGCTGAATTCCCAGCATTCCCAACATTCCCAGCTCACGTAGTGTGGCCTGGTGTCCAGCACTCCCAGTTTTTGTGGATCTGTTCCCTGGATGCTCTGGATGTGCAGCTCCAGGATGTGCTCGAAGCGCGGCCACAGCAGGGCCAGCACCGACCCCCAGTACCTGGAAAATCCGGGATTTGGGAATCTTGGAGGCGTTTGGGAGGGATTTCCCAGGGATTTGAGGCGGCTGGGAGGGATTTGGGGGGATTTTGGAGGGATTTGGGGGATTTTGGGGATTTGGGATGGGGTTTGAGGGGGGTTTTAGGGATCTGGGATAGGTTTGGGAGGGATTTCTGAGGGATTTGAGGGGATTTTGGGGATCTGGGATGGGTTTGGGAGAGATTTTGGAGGGATTTGGGGGGTTTTTAAGGATCTGGGATGGGATTTGGGGGGATTTCCGAGGGATTTGGGGGTGTTTTTGGGGATCTGGGATGGGTTTAGGGGGGTTTTTAGGGATCTGGGATGGGTTTGGGGGGATTTTGGAGGGATTTGGGATGGGGTTTGAGGGATTTGGGAGGGATTTCTGAGGGATTTGGGATGGGGTTTGAGGGATTTC